CCTTGTTCACTGTATATAATCTGGAGGAGGAGTCTGGACACCAAACATTGTCTTGTCAAGTATCATTTTTGGGTTTTTCCACTGCCACTGTGTCAGTTAGATTGTTAGGCCTTACCTCCCTGTACTGCCCGGTATCTCAGTCAAGCCATGTTCCGACAGCTCAAGGTGACTTTTCCTATTCCTGCCCTCATGTCTTGCTGGCTGGAACCTCGCCGCTGCGCTCCTCTGTGCTGTGCACTGAAAACTCAGGCCTTCAAACATTTGATGAACTTTGCACATTTCCTCTGTTCGCTTCTGGGTCCAAACCAGTTAATCTCTCCAGAGAGATCTGTTACAGTTGACCTATCAAAAAAGAACAGAGCAAATGAATGCATTTTCTGAATTTCATACGTAAAAAATGTTAAGGCTACATCTTTTTAGGCAAATTCATGCATTTTTTTCATGTTTTTTTTTATGTTGTTGTCTTTGACCCATGGCTGACTTGCCAATAAAATATATTTTCCTATTTATTAGCATTTTTATTTTTTGTAAGAGATTTTATTTTATATTTTTATTTTGTAATTATAAATTATTTCTTATATTTTATACTTTATGTAAGGTTTAGGGTTGATGGCTAGCATTAGGGTTACGTTTAGTTCAGGGTTTTATTTCACTATTGTATTTATTTTATTTATTTATAAATTGTATTTTTATTAAATTTTAATTTTTAATTGTATTACATTTATTATGCTTTACATGTTTAATTTATTCACTGTTTATTTATCTTTCATTTTTTAATATTTGTCAATTATCTTGTAACACTATTTTTCATTTCTATTATTATTTTTTTATATTTTTCTTTATATCTTTTTTTAATCCTAGACCTAGTTTCACAACCAACCCTTACCTTTTTTATTTATATATCATATTATTTTTAATTGTTTCATTTATTTAAGCCATGTGACCCTGGATTCATTCCAATTGTTACGATACACTAACTACAGATCCTCTGTTCAGCTGAAGTTGAGGAAAGTTTCTGTCTAAGTTTCTTCCAACTGAAAAAAAAACACAAAAGCCCCAAAATGAAGTAATGAGTCCGCTGCTGTGCTGCCAATGATTTCTGCCAAATGAAAAACCAACTCCTCTCCCTCTTGACTTGTTGTTGACAGCAGGGTGAGAAAATGAGAAGGAACGGCGGCGCTCGCAGACCTGTGTCATCGTATTAGTGGATAACTAACCTGACTTCCTGTTGATTTGAACAATGCTCTTTTCCAACACCTCTAAACAGGCCTGGGTGGCGCTGCTGTGCTGAGAGATATCTCACTCCGCAATCATCTCCCAGCAGCACGTGAGCAGTGCTGTAATTAAGGAGCGGTGTCCCCAGTGAATCCCGTTCGTGATGCAGGACTTTAATTCCCAGCTAATTGAGGCAACATGGGGAGTACGGCGGGAAGGAAGGGGGCGCTGGAGTCTGCTGCTGGGCGGACCGACCACTGAGCTGGATGATTAACTGAGGTGTAGTAAAGGTTTCTCAGAAACC